GAAAAATTATTAAACGCACAAATAAAGCTATTTTTAAGAGGCTATAAAAATTGTTCATATATTGATATTGACGAAGATTACAAATATTATAATTCAAGAATTAATTATATTGAAAATTTAATAAATAAAATAAACATAGAAATTGACAGTATCGAATACTCGAATACATTTTTAAATACAAAAAAGATCTTAGAAAGGCTTTCTTCGTCAAAAAAATGCGGTTTGTTAAAAAACAAACGAAATAAATCAAATCAAGTAAAAAAAGGTACAATTCCATATTATTTTAAAAAGACAATAAATGAAAACACTTTAAAACTGAACAGTGAGGATACATCAAATAGTAATATATTACCGAACAATGAAAACTTTTCATCGAATCCAAATTTTTTTCGTCCCTAAATCCAGATATTTGACAATATTACATCAAAACATAGCCGGAGCCATAAATAAGTCAGAAGAGCTGTACTTGGCAATATCTCAATTAAGTAAGTCCCACATTATTGACATTATATGCTTATGTGAAACATTTATTAGAAAAGGAAATGAGAAGCTACTTAAATTACCAGGATATAAATTGATATCATCGTTTTCTCGCAAACAAAAAAGAGGTGGAACATGCATTCTGGTCAAAGAGGACATTTCATGTATTAATCTAGACTTAATAAAGGATCTTGGTTGTAATTTATTCTTTGAGTGTTGTGGTATAGAGTTAAAACACTTAAATACAGTGATAATTTGTGTTTATAGAATTCCAAGTCAAAGTATAGAGATTTTTATTGAAAAACTTCAACTTACACTACAAAAAATTGCAACTAAAAATAAAAAAATAATAATATGCGGTGATTGGAATATTGATATTCTTAAAAAAACTAAGTTTTCAGATGAACTTAATACTTTACTTCAGAACTATAATATTGAATGTTTAATAAAAACACCTACTAGGAAAAATTCATGCATAGATCAAATAGCGACAAATATAAAAAGAGGCGTAACAGCAGAAGTACTTCATCTTGGTTTATCAGATCACGAAACTGCACAGATATTAAAAGTAAATATGATTAAACCCAAAGTAAATGTGTCCTGGTTTGAAACAAAAAGAGATTACAGTAAGCAGAATATACGTAAATTTTGTGAGTGCATGGCATCATTGAGTTTCTCTGAAATACATGAATTTAATAACTTAAATGAATGCTTTAATACTTTTTATGAATTATTCCAACTGTTTTACAATCTCTGTTTCCCATTTGTTAAGATAAAGAGAAACACAGGAAAACCTAATATTAATTGGATAACCAAAGGATTGAAGAAATGTTGTGTACGAAAGCGACTGCTATATTTAAAAAGTATATATTACAGGAAAACATTTACAAATAGTTGGGGTTATTATATAAAATACAAAAATATTCTAAAAAGGTGCATTCTTAAGTCAAAACAAATTCAATGTGAAAAATTTATTAAATTATCAAAAAATAAAAATAAGGCTTTATGGCATATGATATCTAATAATATTAATGACGAAAACAATATTAAAGAAATAGAAAAGATTGTAGTCAATAATAATGTATACAACTCAATGAATGATATATGTGAACAATTTAATAACTTTTTTATTAACAAAACAAATCAAACAAATTTTAATTATGAAGCAACTGAAATAAAAACAACATTGACTACGGAAAAATGTAATACAATATTCTTGACACCAACAAGCAGTGACGAAATTTTAAAAGTAATAAAATCCCTAAATAACACGAATTCCGTAGGAACAGACGGTATAAGTACAAAAATACTAAAGGCTTCCAGTGTACATATTTGCAAACCGTTATCCTTTCTTGTCAATTTATCTATGGAGCAAGGAACTTTTCCTCATGTTCTAAAAACATCAGTTATAAAACCGTTATATAAAAAAGATGATCCAAATGATATTAAAAACTACAGACCGATAGCACTAATTCCAGTTTTATCTAAGATATTTGAAAAGGTAATTTTAGAAAGATTTCAAAATTATGTTGATAAAAACAAAATATTATGTCGGGAACAGTTTGGATTTAGAAAAAATAGTTCTACTTCTTTAGCATGCTTCGACATGGTAAAAGAAATAATTCAAGCCTTTATTGAAAAAAAACCAGCAGCCACTATATTCTTAGATATGAGCAAAGCATTTGATTTTGTGGACCATCAATTACTCTTGTTTAAGTTGGAGAAATATGGCATAAGAGGAATTGCTAAAGAATGGGTTGCAAGTTACTTAAATGATAGATATCAGTATGTGGAGATTCATAAAATGATAAATCAAACACGAAACTCATATAGGTCAGAGAAAAAAGTTAATAAATCAGGTGTACCACAAGGAAGTGTGCTCGGTCCATTTTTATTCCTCTTATATATTAACGATTTACCGAGATCAGTGAAACACAAAACAGTTTTATTTGCAGACGACACGACGATTATTATTAAATGCACGGACAAAAATACATATGAGAGAGATATAAATACAGCATTACATAATATAGTAAAATGGTTACAAAATAATAATCTGAAAATAAACTTAGTAAAAACAAAAATAATTCAATATTATACAAAGAATTGCACCAAAATTAATCTAGACATAAAATGTAATGATCAAGTAATCGAACAGGTAAAACACCATAAATTCTTAGGTGTTCTGGTAGACGAAGGTCTAAAATGGGACAGTCATATTGAATATACTTGTAATAGGTTAAATCGTTTCGTTTACGTATTACGTCGCCTAAGAGATACTGTATCTATGAATGCTGCAATAAATGCCTACCATGCATATATATCGTCGATACTCTCTTACGGAATAATTCTTTGGGGACAGTCTTGCGAGGTGCGGAAAGTATTTGTAGCACAAAAGAAATGTATCCGGGCCTTGTGCGGATTACATCAAAGGGACAGTTGCAAACCAATGTTCGGTAAATTACGTATCCTTACACTAACCTGCATATATATAAGAGAAGTATGTTTATTTGTTAAATACCACCCAGAATATTTTAAAAAGAAAGGAGAAGTAAATTCGCATATGTTAACGAGGTATCAAAATAAACTGCACTTTCCAACATGTAGAATAAATCAAGCAAAAAATAGTGTGATATTTATGACTATTACAATATATAATAAAATACCGGATAACTTTAAGAATCTCCCAGTAAATATATTCAAGAAGAAACTGACGAAATGGTTAATGGAGAAACAATTTTATGATATTCAAGAACTTATTACATTGCGGAATCTGTGAAGGAATTAGTGACGTTTAACAATAGTGACGCGAAGAATCTGTGTAGTGTTGGTGTAGTGTAATTTAATTAACTTATTTCCATTTAAATATTTGCACACCCAAATAGTGGGTAGAATGTATTAGCGCCTTAATATTGCAACAACACCTTTTTTGTAACTACATTCTTGTTAATAAATGAAATTTGAATTTGAATTTGAATTTGAATTTGAGCTTATTAAACATATTTTTGTGCATGGAAGAATTCAGAGGATGCTTTGGGTATATTTTGTGACCTTTCCAAGGCCTTCGACTGCGTTCACCATGAGACATTAATCAGGAAGCTACAGTACTATGGTGTCATGAACACAGCGCTTATACTTATTATTTCATATTTAAGTAATAGAATGCAGAAAGTTATTATCTATGGTAAAAGTTCTTCCGGGTCACCTGTACTAATGGGTGTCCCTCAGGGCTCCATTCTCGGCCCATTCCTATTTCTAGTGTATATTAATGACTTACCTTCTCTTGTAATCATGATATACTATGATTTGCTGATGATACTTCCTTGATTTTTAAATTTAAACGTCAATCATTTAAATGTGACGAAGTGAATAATGACATATAAAAATTAGTGCATAGGTTTAATGTTAATAATCTACATTTAAACGGAAATAAAACTAAATGTATTAAATTTACAACAACGAATGTTAAAAATCTGAGTAGCAATGTGTTTTTAAATGGGAAAAAACTGAGCCCTGTTGAATCCACTGTTTTTATTGGTATCACTCTCGGCGCAAAGCTTCAGTGGGGCCCCCATATGTCCAAACTAGCAAGCAGACTAAGTTCTGCAGCCTATGCTGTAAAAAGATTACAGATCTCACTAGTGTCGAGACAGCTAGATTAGTTTAAAAGTGATATACATTCTGTAAACATTAGGAACAAACACAAGCTAGTGATACCAGGTTCTCGACTCCACAGAGTCAGTAATTCATTCTTGGGGCAATGTATACGCTATTACAACAAGGTCCCGGAAAGTGTACAATGTCTCTCTATTACCAAGCTTAAATGTTTTGTTAAGTTGAAACTGTATAAAAAGGGTTATTATAGTATAAATGTATATATGGATGATAGTAACCCCTGGGAATGAGGTGATAGCTTCCACGCTGTTTCTAAAATAAATTTTGTACCAACCATTAATGTAAAATATGCTTTAAAAAAAAGTCTCCCTGGGTTTCTTGCTGGTTCTTCCCAAGACAGGGTGTTTTTTTCGAACCAGTGGTAAAGTAAAAAATGACTTTCAATAAGAATTACACATTTGATCTATATTGAATAAAAATATTCTATTCTATTCTATAAACAACTGGTGCAGGGCTAACAGTTTATCGATTAATGCTTATAAAACTGTTATAATACCCTTTAAAAAAAGAGACGGTTGAACAATTTAGTCGCATCAAAATATAATTTTAAAGAAGTACCATTCTCCACTGATGTTAAGTACTTGGGCGTAACAATCGATCAAAAACTAACGTGGAACTCTCACCTTAGCAATGTATGTCATAAGGCAAAAATTGATTTCTTCAGGTCTCATTCTCGGGAACAACTGGGGCTTGCGTCCCGGTATGATCCTATGGCTGTACAGCAATATAGTGAGGTCGACTCGACCTACGCCTACACTGTCTGGTATAATAAGTCCAACCAAAAGAAGACTGCGGACAGACTAAATAGTCTACAAAGGACTGCCTGCTTAATGGCAACTGGACCGATGCGATCATCGCCTGGAGCGGCTCTTAATGCAATTCTGGATCTAACGCCCCTTGATCTTTACTTAGACAAGGAGGCGAAGGCTAGTTTGTATAGGATTAATGGTCAGGGAAGTTTGAGCTTGCTTTTCTATAGATTGAGATCCATGCTTGAATCAATCAAGGAAACACCGGTCTTATGCATGATCTCAGATATCATGCGTCCACTATGTACTTTTAACAAAAAGTATACAGTGGAACTACCCCCCAGAAAAGACTGGCTGAAAGGACAAGTCATCTTTGAGGTCGGTAGCCTTATATGGTTTACCGATGGGTCAAAAAAGGGCCTCAACGTAGGCTTTGGAATTTATGAGGAGAGACCCAAATTCAAACTTAGTATGAATTTGGGTAGATTCACCTTTATCTTCCAGGCAGAAATTATCGCCATACTTCAGTGTGCGGAAATCAATCTGCAAAAATACTACGTTAATCATATAATCTATATTAACTCTGATAGTCAAGCAGCACTGCTAGCGCTGAGATCAAACTTGGTGAACTCGAAGCTAGTTGGAGACTGCGTGAACAGCCTAAACGCATTGAGAGGTAATAACAAGGTAGTTTGGGTTCCGGGTCATGCGGGTATTGTAGGCAATGAAACTGCCGACAAGATCGCACGGGAGGGCTCAAACAGTACAAAATTTGGACCCGAGACATTTTGTGGAATCTCAAAAAGCCTCGCCTGATTGACACTGGAAAATGACACAAAAATCACTTAAAATCTGGTGTGATACGCCATGCTTAAAACATTCTAAAACCTTAATCCGGGCTTTCGATCGTAAACTCGCTTCGGAAGCCCTGGGATTAGGTAAAAATAAGTTCTCGTAAGAGCCCTGACTGGACACTGTTGTTTTAAAAAGCATATTTCCATCCTGGGACTAAGTAATTCAAGGATGTGCCGGTTTTGCTTCCTAGAGAAGGAAACGCCTTTACATATCCTTACAAATTGCGAACCCTTAATGCGCAAACTCAACACTCATCTGGGAAACTATATACTTCGCCCAGAAGAAGTGAAAATAATCACAGCTAAGCAACTCCTTCTATTCATTGAGAACGTAGGGCTTAGCAGTGAACTGTAGACATAGCAGCGATCACAATAGATCTTTTAGGTCGCAGTGATACTGGTCTCTCTAGACCCGTACAGCTGCTCGTACATAATAAAAAAAATACAAACATTTACATAATCAAATCAATAACTTAAGTACAATAACGCACAGGCATCAATCTTGGAGCATCATTATTCAACCGCTCTAACTATGTATCAGTATCTACGAGTATAGAACATCTGGTTGCGCTTGGCATAATGGGCAATGAGCTTGCTTATTTATACTCTAAGGTTATCATGCCTTATAAAAATGACGATTTCATATGCTGATACGTGGCGAATTTGTTTTGCTTAAAATTAACAAATAAAGTAAAAACCCCTGCCATTATGCGACAGTAACCCAATTGCAGAGTGCGGTACGCAAATTCAAAAGGTCGTGGGTTCGAATCCACCATTTGACTACTTACGTGAAAGTAAGTATTTTAAGCTTACCAGAAGTGAAAAAGTGATTAAAAGGAACATTAGTAATGATAATATAATTGGTTGTATTTTTTTAAATAATTAAAAAACGCAATGTGCCTTAAAATGTACGCAGCTCGTATATTTCAACTAAAATTACGCTTCAATATGCGCAATCTTTAGTGCTCTCGGTTATCGACTATGCTGACATTTAACCCACTATTTAGCCGACTTTATGAAAAGAAGAGGTTATCAAATCAACAATATGTTTTCTAACGTATTATATGGACTATGTGTATATATAATATCTTGATTACACTATATCTTAGTTCCTCAGTTGTGAACCGATTTAAATATTTCTTTTTTATCAAATAGACTTTGTAACATAAATCTGCCCATATCCACTATCTAAAATAGTGGAATAAAAACTTCAAAGTAGAAGAGACAATTATTTTGAGAAAGTAATTTGTTATAGTTAACGGTCTAAAATTATATGAGAGACTAACAGAATAATAAAATCTTACTAAAATTAGAATGTATTGATAGACATGTTTTGGTTAAAGTATAAATGAAAAAAAAAATGCGTGTAATGAAGCATTTTAATACTTTTTGTGAAAACATATAAAAAATATTTTACTTTGTTAATTTGAAGTGCCCGTGTAGTGGCGGGAAAGAATACTCACTATATATTTACCCTATATCTTTCTGTGGATGTCGTTAGAGGCGACAGAGGGAAACTGAGGCAGAGGATGGGCAGCAGCATCTTTCTAATAACAGCAAAACAACAATAAAAAACCTGCGGTTGCCAACCCGCTCGCCAAGCGTGGCAACTATGGCAATATACCCCCCCTTAATAGTAACCAAAAGACGGCCCCCAGTCCCCGGCGTCCCCGCTATTCCTGGCTACGGTAGCGACCATGGTAATGGCGGGGCAGGGGGTGCTAAGAATCTCCGATGGAGGTTCGGTTGCCACATACAACGACTCGACCTGGCAACTTATAACGCACGCACCCTGAGGACTGACGAGAAGATCCTAGAGCTGGAAGAAGACATAGACAAGTTGCGCTGGAATATCATAGGATTATCCGAGGTCCGAAGAGACGGGGAGGACACGGTAATCCTCGATTCCGGTACCTTGTTCTATCACCGGGAGGATGACCATCTGTCCCAAGGTGTCGGATATATCGTCCACAAGTCTCTCGTTAACACCGTTGTAAAGATTGAGAGTGTATCGACGAGGGTTGCGTACCTTATACCCAGAATCACCAAACGGTATTCGCTGAAGGTCATACAGGTTAACGCACCAACCTCGGCACATCCCGATGAGGAGGTGAAGGAAATGTATGAGGATATCTCTAGAGCCATGCATTCCTCCAAAACCCACTGTGTACCACCCCTCCAAAACATACGGTGTTAATGGATATTTCAACGCAAAAATAGGCACAAGAGAGAACAGTGAGCTGAAAGTAGGGATATTCGGAATAGGGCAACGGAACCCAAGGGACCAGCAGCTGGCCGACTTCATGGAGAAAGAGGAACCCTTTATGATAAACTCTTTCTTCCAGAAGCGGCCCCACAGGAAGTGGACCTAGTCGAGCCCTGACGGTTCGACAAAAAATAAGATTGACGTCATTATGACGACCAGTCGACAACTGTTTAGTGATGTCTCAGTGATTGCGAGGGTGAAAACCGGCAGCGATCACCAAATGGTGAGGGAACACTGAACCTAAACGTTAAGTTGGAGACGTCGCGTCTAATGAAGTAAACGCTCCGTCCCCCTCGTGCTCTAATCCAAAGTCCCGAAAGCTTTCATCTCGAGCTACAAAACTGTTTTCAGTGTCTAGAAAATTGCAATGCAGTAGACGATATGAATGACAAGCTTGTGGAAACTGTCCATGCGGTTGGAGCTAAGTTTTGCAAGACCCGCCGCAGAAGAATACAAAAACTCTCCGATCACACTCTTAATCTCATGGCTGTTAACAGGGGTATGAAGCTGCAGTCTTCAGTAGATTTGACGACGTACAGGCAACTGAACAGACAGATCTCCAAATGCATGCGGCGTGACTTACGCAACTTTAATACTGCTCGTATTGAAGAAGCGATCGAGCGAAACCAGGGCTCCAAAGTCTTTGCTAGAGATCTGTCTGCCAGAAAGAGCCAACTGTCGAAGCTGGAGACCGAGTGTGGCAGCTTCATTTCCGCAACACCTGAGATTTGAGTGAGATTGAGAGGTTCTATGGGCAGCTGTACACATCATCGTTGGAGCCACACGCAAGTGTGAGTAACAATCCAAGAGCGAGTCTTATCCGACATTATTCCGATGATATCCCGGACGTCAGTCTGAGCGAGATTAGAATGGCTCTCCAGCATCTTAAAAACGGCAATGCCCCAGGCGAAGATGGAATTACAGCAAAGCTTCTGAAAGCGGGTGGAAGACCGGTACTTGAAGTCCTTCAGAAGATCTTTAATTCCGTCCTCTATGGTAGCATTACACCGGAGGCGTGGACCAGAACTGCGGTGGTCTTGTTCTTCAAGAAAGGCGACAACGCTCACTTGAATAACTACAGACCGATTTACTTTCTGAGCGGTGTCTACGTGCTGTTTTCGAGAGTCATTACGAATCGTCTCGCGTGCAGACTTGACGACTTCCAGCCTCCCGAACAAGCCGGTTTCCGAAAGGGCTTTAGCACCATAGACCACATACATACCCTTCGGCAAATTGTACAGAAGTCCGAGGAGTACAATTTGCCACTATGTCTGGAGTATGTGGACTATGAGAAAGCCTTTGTATCCGTCGAAATTCGGGCTGTGCTGCAGAATCGCTGGAGGACCTAAGCACTATGCTCAATGACCTCTATAATGTCTCCCAACGGATAGGTCTTAAGATGAACATGGACAAAACAAAGATCTTGTTTAATGTCCATGTCACACGTATGCCGGTAGTTGTTGGGAGCATTAAGCTCGAAGTTGTTGACGAGTATGTTTACCTGGGACAAATAGTCCGACTCAGTAAGCCCAACTTCGACCGAGAGGTTAATCGACGGATTCAGCTTTGTTGTAACAAGACAGTAACAAAACAAGACTGTAGAATTGAATAGAATATAATATTTTTTTATTCAATACAGATTACATGTGTAATTCTTATTAAAAGTCATTTTTTACTTTACCACTGGTTTAAAAAAAAAACCCTCTGTCCTGGGAAGAACCAGCAAGAAACCCAGCGGGACTATTTTTTTAAATATATTTTACAATATAAATGATTACGAACTATTTACAAAATTTATTTTAGAAACTGCTTGGAAGCGACCGCCTCATTCCTAGGGGTTATTATCAACCATGTATTCATTTATACTATAATAACCCTTTTTGTACAGTTTCAGCTTAATAAAACATTTAAACTTGGTAATAGAGAGAGCCTGGTCACTTTTCGGGACCTTGTTGTAATAGCGTATACATTGCCCCAAGAATGAATTACTGACTCTGTGGGGTCGAGAAACTGGCATCACTAGCTTGTAGCTGTACAACCAGTGCGTGTGCCAGTGAAGTGCCTATGGAGCTGAGACGTGGTCCTTCACTGCTGGCCGGACGGGGAAGCTCAAAGTCACTCACCGAGCTATGGATATGGCTATGCTCGGAGTTTCTCTGCGTGATAAACTTAGAAATGAGGATATCCGCAGTAGAACCAGAGTGACCGACATAGCCCAACGGATTAGTAAGCTGAAGTGGCAATGGACCGGCCGTATAGCTCGAAGAACCCACAACCGTTGGGGGAAAAAGGTTCTCGGGTGGCGGCCTCGTACCGGCGGACGAAGTGTAGGGCATCCCCCCACTAAATGGAGTGACGACCTGGTAAGATATGCAGGAAGTCGATGGATGCAGGTGGCTCAGGACCGTGCTTTGTGGCATTCCTCGGGGGAGGCCTATGTGCAGCAGTGGACTTGTGAAGGGCTGTAATGATGATGATGATGATGAACTTTATTTCTCTGTTACTTTCTTCCCAATGGTCTGGTAAGGGAATTTAAGCCTAATTATTCGTGATCAGCCCGTAAAAGTCATGAGATTCTCAAGTCAAGTGGAAGGAGCTGGCACTGGGGAGCCTCTGCCCAGAGATGGGAACAGTATTCCATGTGAGGCCGAACCTGCGCCTTGTAAAGTTGCATTGCGGTGTGCCGGCATAAAATA